CAGATCATGAGGGAACTACACGAGGTCCCTTATTCAGGACATCTGGGCTACCATAAAACATTAAAGAACATCCAGAAAACCTTCTACTGGCCTGAGCACACCCTGGATATTTGGGACTTTGTGATGGGGTGCCCAGTTTGCCAGCAGGAGAAGGCTGTCCACCGTATCCCCGCTGGACTGTTGCAGCCATTAAAACTCCCAGAAGAGAAGTGGGCCGACGTCAGCTTGGATTTCATCATGGGTCTACCAAAGTCAGAGACTGGGAACGACGGGATACTCACAGTGGTAGATCGGGCAACGAAGATGGTGCATCTGGCGCCTGTCAAGCAGACTATCACAGCTGCTGACACAGCCCGACTCTACTGGAGCACTGTGGGGAAGTTGCACGGAATCCCTCGTTCTATTGTGAGTGATCGAGACCCACGCTTTGTGTCCAAGTTCTGGCGCGAGCTGTGGAACATTCTGGGAAGTTCATTGAGGATGTCCAGCGCCTACCACCCACAGACAGACGGTCAAACAGAGGCGATGAACAGGGTGGTGGAGATGGTTTTATGCTGCACTCTACACGCCGGGCAGGATGGATCGAGCTGGGAGCGACTGTTGTCCACCGTCGAGTTTGTGATCAACAACAGTCCAACGCAGGCGACCGGGTACACGCCGTTTTACTTGAACTACGGCTTCCATCCGTGTACTCCAGCAGACCTTATCCGCGACAGTGACTCTACTCTCATTGAGGGAGTCAACCAATTCGTAGAGCGGATGAAGAGGAATTTCTCAACAGCAATCAAATTTCTGAACCGGGCTCAAGATCGCATGAAGGCACAAGCCGACCAGAAGAGAAGGGAACAGCGGTTCAGTAGTGGGGATCAGGTGCTGCTCTCAACAGAGCACCTCAACTTGAAGAATGCACCGATCCGTAAGCTGAAGAAGAGGTTCGTTGGCCCATTCTTTATTGTCCGTCGGGTGGGACAGGTGGCCTACGAACTTGATCTTCCGAGTACGTGGAAGATACACAATGTGTTCCACATCAGCTTGTTGCATCCTTTCAGGACTAGTTCATGGACGCAACCCACTACATCTGGTCAGGTGGAGGAGATCGAGCCTGAGGATGATGAGCTATACGACGTTGAGAGATTACTGCGTTGGCGGTGGACCGGTCCCAGTACCAAGCGGCAGAAGGAGTATTTGGTCCTCTGGAAGGACTATTCATTGGATGATGCCACTTGGACTCCTGAGGAGAATTTTACCTACCAGGAGGAGCTCAAGAAAATGATCAAGAGGGACAGACCAGTAGAGGACAATTAAGGCCACTGGTTAGCCTGACGTTTCGAGGGCGAAACTACCCCTAGGGGGGAGTACTGTGGTGTAAAGCACAGGGGGTAGTGTGTTTCTTTGATTATGAGTATCTTGGAAGTATCATGAATGGTAATGAATAATCTCATCCTTTAGTTGAGCTTACTAGGAACCCATAGGTTCTTGAATCAGGCCATTCGGGTTAGCGGTAGTGGAGATATAGCCATTAGAAATTCTAGTACTTAAGGGCACCTCCGCAACCGTACTGGGGGATGAGATATTATCGATACGGTGACGTTGGCTGCATTGTCACGTGATGCGGGGCACGCCAAAGGGCGGCCCCGATGCCCGACTTGTTGTAACTCTTGCTGACCACTTGCCTCCGCGCGGCTGCACCCGTAGGCCGCACCGGCGTCGCGTACCCATTGCGCGCACTGCCGCCCCGCGCCCGGCGAATCGCAGGACTGGGCCCACACTGCGCACCCCGAAGGAACGAGCGCCCCGGACCGCCCGCCGTCATTCGGCGGAGGAGGCCATTCCGGCCGGATTGGGCGCCGCGGCGGGCACATCGCCCGCGGATCGAGCCGACAACCACGCTAGGAGGTCAGGTCCACGGGTCAGGGCTGCCTTGTCCACAGCACGTCGGTGTATGACACGGGAAACGCTTCTCTCCGCCTCGACAGGGCTGTGCAGTGACGAGGGGGGGTCGCTTCTGGCCAGCAGCACGACCGTGCTGGCACTGCTGGTCTTCAGCGGCAAGGAAAGCGGCTCAGAAAAGGCACAAATTGGCCGCGACCTTTGAAAATGTCGAGCGCTATTGCGCTCAGGCTGTGGCGAAGTTGCGCACAAGGCCAGGGGAGTCAGGCAGCCAGGCTGAGTGCCTAGGCTGCCGCGAGAGGTACACGCGAACGCCGCGCAACCGTTCTTACAGCTGCCAGGCCGAGTGCAACAATACAGAGTTCCACCCGCGTTGTCCGTACCCCTCTGGCAAAATACCCCCATTCCTAGGAGATGCTCTTTTGATACCTGGAATCTTTCTGCTACGCCGGCCGCTTCACCACAACTCAACCTTGGACGCTCTGCTGCCCACAATCAGCCACCACGTGGTGTTTAAAGGGCCACATTCCCACCAAACAACCACACTTCCCACAGTCAGCAACCACGTTATGCCCAACGGGGCATATTCCCATGAGACAACCTTGTGGCACCTCCACGTGCCCCTCCTGGCTCCGTCTCACCACGATCCACGGCAGACGGACAGGCAAGCAGCCCCTAAGCAAACGCATGTGTCCAGTGGCAACCTGGCTGCTCCTCAGTACTCCAAAGGCGTATTCGGGGCATGTTTGGCTAATGTGTCTCTGTGCGATGCACTGCCACGTATTGGCGCTGTGCTCAACATTCTTATAGTACCTCAGTGAATTGTTTGCGCGTATGATGCAGTTGCCATCATCTATCTTTGTCATCAAAGTCATCTACCTACATTCTGAGTGGCTTGAGCTTGCAATTTGATGGTGATCAGTGTGGCGAAGGTGCTGAGTCTGTCGACATCCCTCTGTACCATATCTAGACCTCACGGGTCGCCAGCTGAGTGATATCATTAATGCACTAACTTTTCGATGAGCCCCATTAATTGGCGACCCGAACACGTGGGTTTTGATGGGCCGATGGCACGGAGGAAGCGGTAGCACCGTGGGTCGCAACGTGATGAAGCCCGGTGAGGCGCGATGGAGCACGGGCGAAGTGACGATCATGCACAGTTGGCAGCAACGGTGGCCGGTGCTGCTCTGTCAAACACAGCCGAGCCGGCAGCTTGTTTTTATTGAGTGGGACTGCTTGGGTTTGCAGCAGAGAGGCCAATGGGGAAAGGCCAAGTTACTATTTGTGTGGGCAGGGAGGGCGTGCGGTGGCGCCATGCTATGTGAATGGCGCAAGGGCTGGGCCCGACTTTCGAGTAGGGTACGCTGGGAGGAGACTTACTGCGGCAACAGAGCCTGCCGACGCCAGAACATTCACTACACTGGGGGGTCAGTACTGTGCACTGACCTGGCATCAAAATGCGGATTGTTCGTTGGTTGCAACTGGAGACTAACTTTGCGGCCTCACCGGCGCCTATCGGCGCAGTACGACTCAGCCGTTGTACCCAAGTGTTGACAAACATTTGTGCGACAGGCCAGGCCGCGCTTTAATCCGTACTGCACCCTGTTTCAGCCGTATAAACGCGGAAAAGTAATGCAGTACAGGCGGAAAAGCGATAGGGATAAGGGGGCCTTATATAAGGTAGGAACGAAGTCCAACGTTGGTCACATGTCACAGGTCTGGAACCGCCAGCCAGCCAGCCCTTCCCCCTGTACCCTCTTCTTGGCGTCAGTTTGACGCTGAACATACCGAAATATGTTGGTGTATTCCCTAACGTAGAACGCTACTGAATTCCAACATTTGGTTGGCACAAGGGGGCCCGCCGTTACTTGTCAACAGCATGAACATTCTTGCCATACCTGGTGACAAATGCTGTCACGAAAAGCAGCAACCGAGGCGACATATGTGCAAGGCACACAGCGATATTCCAATTCTGCAACTGCCCACATTGACACCCGCATTTCCACAGGTGCAGGGTACCCCTGAACAGATTTCACATGCGCCTGTTCTTGGCACAGCTCACATTGCCGCCGTAGCAAGGGACGCCAATACTGCCAGACACACGTTTCCAAGGTGGAAGGTGACTGGGGCGTAGTTACCACTGTTGGCGAAGCCAAAGGAAAGGAGGCCAGCTTCCGTTGGCCAGCTGTGATAAGTGAATACCAGCTCGAAGCTTGCTGCGTGTGCACCGCAGTCCCACCAACATCCAAGGCAAAACGATCTTCTGATGGTGCAGAAATTTCTTACTGGCGAATGCTGACACCTGAGCGTATAGCAGCATAAGTTGGTCGGCGATTGAGAGGCATGGCATTTCGACACAAGTGCATGCTGCCTTCATCCGTGTGGTATTGCATCGACCACCCACCTTGGTGGTGCACAGCACACAGTTCAAACATTTCCAGAATCCATCCATCCTTTCTGTTGCAAAACTTCGTGCAGCATGGAGTCCCAAAGGCACTGTGCCAACGTGCCTCTCAAGTTCCAACAAAACTCGTTGTAGAATGGAGGGCCTCAGCCAATCTGCAACAAGAATCTGGACGTCAGCTGATCCTTGACATTCAGTTCGTTTCTGGATGCCCAGTACCGTGCATCCAGCATTTTTCATTTTCCTGTTGGGTGCAACGTTGACCAACACGTCATGCTGTTGTGTGTGGTGGGACATCCAACCTATCCAAATGGCCTCCTGGCAGCAAGCTATGCATCACTGCCAGCATGCTGTGTTGGTTGCACAAGGAAAGCAACAGCAGCACCCCATTTCTGGTGCTATGACTCAAGGCACCCTGTAGGAAATACAACTGAAACAGCAGAAGAGCCCAGAAGATGGTTGCAAGCCCGAGCACATCCATTCAAGCACTGAGCTCACAAGTTATGCTGTGGCAAACATGCCAGCCAGTGATGGGGCTCCTCAGATGTCTGTTGCATTTCTAACACTGGCCAGATCCAGTACAGAGGCCTGGGGTGGTAAACCTCCCAATCAAATTGTTTAACAACTTCAGAATAAAAAAACAGCCTGACAAGGGCATGGATGGCCGTGAACACACCCCCAATTCCCATCCTCCCTTATGCAACAATCAGTCCCCATAGGTCCCAGCCACGTTTCCCTGCGACCTCGCATCACGTTCAGACTTCGCCTCATCCCTCGCCCTCAACCGCCTGCCTAACCTCTGCTTGTAGTCCTGTGCCACGCTGTCTATACATGACACTGCAAAGTAGGACACTGACAGAAAGACGATCGTGTTCCACAGGGCGCTCACGCTATTGGGCCACAGCCCCCTGGCCCAGGCCACCACCGCCCTCGGCCTCAGGTCGATGTCCTGCCACCACCAGGTGGGGTCCCCCCTGTGGTCAGCCGCCTGTTTCACAACCTTCCTCTCAAACTCACCGATCTGCGCATTTACAAATCTGTGGATCGCCCTCGCTGGCGGCTCATCCAGCTGAAGCCAGGGCAGGCTGTTCGGCAGCACTCCCTCAAGGAAATCCATGAGCCTCTCTCTGGAGGATCTCTGGAACAGGGCCACGAAGAACAGCACCTGGCCGTTCACCTTGAACAGCCCCTTGCCCAGCAGCGTGGCGCCGAAGAACTTCCAGAAGGGCATGTGGAAGTAGCCGCACACCACGCCGCAAAGGTCGAAGGCAAAGTTGGGGTAGGAGGCCAGCACCAGCACCCCCAGGAACCCACACCTCCGAATCATCCACAGCATCAGCGCCAGCATCCGGGCGAACGTCCTCTTGATCAAATTGTCGCTCTTCAGCCCCTCCTCCACGTCGGGGATCGCCGCAGCGGCCTGATCCGCGCCCGTGGCAGCGTAGCTCACAAAGTACGGCGGCACCTCCCCTATGGCTGTGCCCACCCCCCACAACATGGCCGTGACAATCACTTTCTTATAAACCACCCAAAATCCCGGGCCGTCCCCCGCCGGCCCCGCCCAGTCCCCCTCGCCCCCCTCGCCCCCCTCGATGCAGTGGAAGGGCTCCGAGCTGTACCAGGCATCCGTGCGTGCGTCAAAGTTCACCCCATCACAGACTTCGGCTGCCAGGGCCACCTTCAGTATGTGGGGGAAAAGAAACAGAAGCCCAGAGTGCATCCCCGAGCCAAACCCGATCGACGACAGAATCCCCAGGCCGATCCACCACAGGGCGTACAGCGCCCAGGCGTCGATCTCTGCGGTGAGGATTGCGCCGTAGCCGGTCTGCTTCAGCGCCACGTGCGCGGCCACCGCGGGCGCCAGCAGGTAGATCGTGATGGGGTGGCTGAAGAACCAGGAGGCCGCGAAGGTAACCGAGGCGCCCGCGCAGCGACCGAGGTAGTACAGCGTCTCCAGCGGGCGGCGAAAGAGGGTGATCGGCTCGCCCTCGTCTTCCGCGGGCTTTTGGCCGAGATCGGCGCCGCTGTTGCCCGCGGCCATGGGGGCCTCTGGGGACGCCTAGGGCGATGTCGCAGCCGTGAAGAGCTTTTTGTTGATTGGCGGGGAAGGGGGAGGGGGCGGGGGGCGCCCGGAAGTGGGAAGGTGGTGCCTGTGCGCGGGGTTTTGGGATTCGGAGACTCCCAGGGGCGCGTTTCTGTGCGGGCTGTGTATGAGGGGTTGCGGTTGCGCGGCGAGTGTACGGTGAACTACGGAGTGCGTGCGTGTGGTGTTTTGTGGACATTTGCAGGAGAATTCTATTCAAGAGGTGGCGACACCTGGACCGCAGGCTCGAGTGCGCACGGCAACGGCTTACAGCGGAGCAACGGGACAACAGGGATTCTGTCCCTCATATCCAGTCCGTTCCTCAGTGTCCTTAATGCAGTTCCCAATGCCTCATCACCTCTATGCGTCCGGCTGTAGACAATACTCGATCAGTTCTTGTCACAACATGGCAACTCCCTGAACTACAGTATACTGTGATAAGTTGCAACCACATTCTGTGAGGAATTGCATTGAAATTAATGGCACTAAGCACATGGCTGGCTGGCACACTGCTTTGGATTTCTGGGGGCACTCTTCTAAGCATTACGTTGGACTGGACGCTGCTGAATTGCAGGTGTTGCACGGTTTAAAGTGTACCCAAGTCGACACAGTGTGTTCACTTGAACCAGGGGGACGGGAAAGGCATGCACTTATTCAAGACGCTGTCCGGATGGCGCAGATGTCTTCAAGACAGATAGACCTATCTGCAGCGACTTAATCTTTGTATGTCATACAGCAACGTTGAACATGATCGATGAAAAATATGCAGAATTGGAAAATGGGGTGTTTCGAGCGAAGAGGGGCAATCCCTTAGACTGTCGATTGAGGCACATCTGGGACCTGGTGTATGCACATATGGCGACTTGTTTGCTGCTGATCGCCAGTGGTTTGGCGGCCAAAATTTGACCCTCTTTCTAACTTGCGTCGATTTTTTGGCAAAAACATAAGTTCACAGCCTCACACACCCTTCGCCGCCCATCCCCCCCAGCCCCCACCAACCCACCCCAAAAAGGGTCAACTTGACGCTCAACGTGCCGACATCGAAGATCTGTGTTCCTTTATAAAGGATATATAAATTCACATGAGCAAGTCGGCAAAATGCGTCAGAAAAGGAACTGGACAGGCTCCAGTGGGTTCAATGCATGGGTGCAACTTGAGCCATTACAAAATGCTGGGTATCAATTTCCAAGTCCCGAACACAATAATCGAATCCGATAGCTCCACATGCGCTGAGGCACAGCCTGCGCCATTGACTTCACACGTTTGCCCCCCATGTGAGCCACAACTCCTCAGAGTAGTACCTCAGCAATGAAGAGACCAAAGGCAAGCCAGCCACATCACAATGAGCACGGTGCGCTGGCAGGGGTGCGGCTGCGGGCAGCGGCTCCTGGGCGGGCATGACCAAAAGTGTTGGCAGCTCGGGAGAGCCTGGCGTCGTCGCCCGAGCTCCTTTGGCATCGGCGTCCACTGTCCCAGAACATGGCGCTCCTTTTAGCATTTGTTGAGCACTTGTCGCACCAAATTGTAGCTTTGAACACGTCTTGCAAGGCGCAGACGGGCCAGCCCCGTTTCCGCACGCCTTCAGGTCTGGATTGACACATGCACTGCAGCCCTGTGCCGCCGTGTTGCAAATGTTGCACTCCTGCAAGAACAAGCCAAATCAGGGCCCTCACACAAGGTGGGATTGGATGCATGTGAAGATTCCTCATAGTTGGGTTCTGGTATAGGCAATTATTGTATTGATTGCAGTCAATTGACATGGCGAGTCCTATTCGGGCGTCATATTGGGATACAGCAATGCCGTGTGATTGTATGGGCTTTAGGGTACCGACTGGGTGCCAGCTGGGGCGCGGCAGGCGACTATATGTTGACCTGTTCAGTGGAACACCTGCGGAATATCCTTGGAATTTGGAGAGGCTTACGCAAAAAATCCATGGGGCGATTCACATGTTTCTTATGGGTTGTTTGCTTGCAAGTCTCTCATCCATGACAGGTAAGCCAACGGGCGTTGAGAGAAACCTTGCAGTGTTGAGCAATATCTTGCGAACCATGCAGGCAAAAGCGCCATCACCAAATGACTGTATGGGATGGAAATCATCGAAAAATTTGGTTCCCAGCCCCAAGCCTGAAGAATTTGTTCCTACCCCTGGAGTCTCTCAAAATTGTCGCTTCCTTTCTTTTCTGCTCCCGTCCCCTGCCGCCCATTTGCATAGTCAGATAGTAGTCACTGCGTCCTCCATTGCCAGCCAGCAATTTTTGGGTCTCCGAGGTGTTCTTTTATGTGGGTAAGTCAGCGTGACGCGTCAGACAAGGTGCAGGACCAGCTCCGGGATGTGGATTCAATGCCTTGGTGGAACTTGAGCCATTGCAAAAGTTTTGGGCATCAAGTCCCGACTCCAAAAATCGAATCCAAAGGCGCCGTGTCCCCCCACATGCTGCCTCTTCAATTGTCTTCACAATTCCGCCCCTGTGCAAACTGCAACTCCTCACAGTGGCTCCTCAGCCGTGTAACTAAAATAACTAATCGGCTGGTGAACAGACTGTGGGAGTGCCTGTTGCGACAGGCAGGCTCCACTGCCAGGGTGTGGCTATCCCTGCATGCTCCCAGCTGCTGCATCCATTCATTTTGGCTATGAGCTAGTCCTTGCTTCCACCATTGCCGCCCAGCAATTTGGCTCCCTAGGTAGCCTGGGCAGAATCGGCTGCTGGCCACTCAAAGGGTAGCTGGCAACCCTTTTCACCCTTCTTCCTAAGCCACCTCATTTCTTGCATCATGGCCCAGATTCTTGGATCCTGGCCCAGATCGTCGAAGCACTGCAGCGCCATTGAACGCCAGCCTTGAGACTTGCCTTAGTCCGAATGTCAGAGATGAGAAGAACAGCACTTGGATCCTTCTGCAGCTGGCTCGCTCTCCGATGCCCCTTCTTCTGTCATGGTTCAGACCACCGCCTGCGGCAACCTCAGGCTGCTTCAGTATGCCACTTGCAGCCCTCCCTTTGCCTTCTGCTGTGAACATAACCAAGGCATCCTTCAGCACACCTGCCATGTGTTTGCCACACAGTCGCCAAACTCTCAGGAAGGCTTTCTTGCACCTTGCAACAACAGTGTTTTCACAGAATGAAATGCCATGTCAGGGGGATGATTATGGATGCAGATGCGCTCCAGTCAGCTGCTACACATACCACTGCAGCAGCTGCCACTCTATTCCAGGCATAACTACATGCCAAAAGAGTGCATGCATTCCCTTACAATGCAGCATAGTGTGCAGTATGGCCCAGCAGCAGCAACTGGATGCTTGTGGAGCAGCCCCACATGCTGTGAATCTCACCAGTTCCAATGCATTGCTGCCCTGGCTGTCCTCATGGACAGCTGCTCCCAGGATGGCCCTTGCCTTAGATGTCCAACCTGAATGCCCTCTTGTTGGCCAGAATCTGCTTACATGCCTTCCTGTCCAAATAGACCATCATGCCCTGGAAGTCATCCTGGCTCACTGTTGGGACTCTCTTCATGGCACTTGTGTTGTCAACCTCTCCTTGTTTTCCTTTTGCCCCGGCTACCCTCTGTAGACCCACGATTCCTGCCCAGCCGTGCAGTCTCGCTTGCCAGACATCCCCCAGAAAACGATCCGTTGATGTCCAGTGCAGTCACATTATGCCACACCTTCCATGTGTGTGTGTGTGTGTGTGTGTGTGTGTGCACTCTCAAATGCACCCTTCTACTCTCAGCCTGCTATCTGAGCTCCCTCGTGCTGTGAACCAAACTGCAGCATACACCATTAGCAGGTTGCTTCAGTGTAGAGTTTCAGACCCTCATCTGCGCCCCCTGCAGTGCCACAACCAGGACATCCTTCAGCACAACATGCGCTTGCTGCTTTACCAACACAGAATCACAAGGGGATGCTGCAGGGATGAGCACACACCCATGTTGTGCATACCTTGAGCCAAGCATCCAATGCACAGCAGCTGTCGCCAGCCTTCTGCACTGCTCCATCAACCCAGCATGCCAGAACTAAGCAGCAGCATCTCGTGAACTTCACGACATTGGAACAGCTCTCTGCCGATCTTAAAGTTTTCCCACCCAGAGTGGAGCCCTGAGTGCTCGACACTGCCCGCTGGATTTCCTGTGCACGATTACTAGACACGAAGAGGGTTGCATGGGGGGTGTTTGCCCTGGAACAGCAGCCCTTGTTCTGACATCCACCAACCATAAGCAGCAGACCCTCCCATCGACTTGGTGGGGCACAACACTGCAGCACCAATCCTGGAAGTTGGCAGCGGGGTATCAAGTCATACAGGTACGCTCTTCGCCTGGCGTCCTGGTGTCTCTGTCAGGCCCTGTGGTTCCATAGCACTTTGTTCTCGAGCTGGTCCTGGTTCGTCTTGCGGCTGATCTGGCACACCCGTCGGCCTTGGCTGGGGCCTCTCCGCCATTCGCCGAGGATACCTCACAAACCTCCCCAACTCACACTCCAGGCATTTGCCAGGCACCATTGGTGCGTCAGGAAAGCTGTTGTCCCTCCAGCAACTTGGATTTGCCAGTGAAAACACACACTGGGCGCCAAGCGCACCGCCACCTTCGTATCCTATTCAGGCGTCTCTGCCACAGTCAACCGTCATTGATCTATTGGGCCGCGGCGACAGTTTGCCCCGCGCACCCGGAGTTCCTCCGCGAGGTGGGTTTGCAACTGAGCGTCAGTGGCCTGAAATCTCCGCCGGTCGTGACCTTAGGACCACGTGTCGCCTGCGAGGTATTGCTCGATATGTTGGAACGAGACAGCGCTTGATGAGGCGGAAATACTCTGGCACGCCAGAGTACAGGTACAGGTACAGGGTTTAGCCAGCATTGGTTAATGGAGAAGGACAACTGCGAACCATCCAAGGTTCCACGTGTTGACGCAAGGCGCGGGGATGCAGAGGGATGTGTGTCGCGGGCAACGTCACTACAATCACAATTTGCTG